CCCACTGAATTAGAACATGCATTTTACAAAGACACCAGGTGGTTCTGAGCACACTTAAATTTGAGGAGCCCTGACCTTCATAGCACCCCATTTCCAATAACAGCCCACCAGGGATAGCTATAGCTAAGACTTGTGGCGACCTGTCTGTGTACTGGCGGCTTTGCACATAAAAGCCCACTTAACCCTCACCAACTTTCTGGGGGTATGATGATCACCCCCATGTTACAGATGAGGAAACTGTAACCCAGAGAGGTGAAGTAATTAGCCTGAGAACACACAGCCTGTAGGTGGCAGAGGTGGGATTTGAAGATAGCTTCTCTGAGACCACGGTCCTCCTTGTTACGGGGCTCCCAGCCTTTCCTCCCTCCCTGTATTGTTCATCTTGCGTAGCTTTCAGCAGATAGGAAGTCTATTTCCCCTTCTTCCCTCGACCCGATGTAGCCAATGGACTCCTGAGGCAGACACTGGGCCACCACTAGTCACAGCTTTTGTGTCCATTAGCACAGCCCTCTTTCTTGGGGGTGGGGAGGGGGACAGAGGACCACCTGTGTCAGAATCACCTGGGATGTTTGGGAAAAGTGCAGATTCCTGGCCCCTCCAGGTCCTAGGAAACTAGAGCCTCTGGGATGGGGTCTGGACACCAATAATTTCCAGGGATTTTCGTTGCCCACGAAAATGGGAAGCCAGGTGCCAGGGGTTGCATTGCCCATTTTACAGTCAAGGGCAGCAAGGCCCAGACAGTTTTTCTGTTCCGGTCCCAGGCTGGAAGCTGGCTGACTGGCACGCTGGCTTGGGAGTCAGGCGGTTCTGGGTTCGGGTTCCTGCTCCTCTCCTTCGGAGCCCAGAGCCGTACCTGGGTTGACAGCAGGTTGGCAAACGCAGCCCACAGACTGTGTGCAGCTTGCTAGCTAAGAATGGTTTTTACATTTTTAAAAGGTTGGGGGAAAATCAGAAGAAAAATATCTTGCGACCTACGAACATTATGTAAAATCCAAATTCCAGTCTCCGTAAAAGTTTATTGGAACGCAGCCACGCTCATTTATTTATTCACTGTCGGCGGCTGTTTTCTCGCTGCGGAAGCAGAGGTGAGCAGTCACAACAGGGACTGGACGGCCCACAGAGCCGAAGATGGTTCCCATCTGGCGAATTACAGGAAAGGCTTGGCAACCCCTGGTCCAGAGCCGTGAGTCTCAAGCTGTAGCTGCAGCGAAATCACCCGGAGGGCTTGTTAAAACACAGACGGCAAGGCCCCGTCTTCAGAGTTTGCGATTCAGTTCGTCTGTCGTGGGGCCTGAGAACCTGCATTTCCCACAAGCTCCCTGGTGGTGCTGATGCCTGAACCACACCTTGGGGACCCTGGTTTAGAGGAACTTGGGTCTTCAAAGCTGACACGAACCCCACCCTGGAAGCTCACAGCCCACCCAGGGAGCAGAATGGGCTTGGGGGAAGAGAGGGAGAACGGAGGAGGTCTCACCATCCAGGCCCTGTCTCCTACACACCCCCCCCCCGCCCCCCCCC